GCTCCGCACCCCCAGGCTCCGCACCCCTAGGCTCCGCACCCCCAGGCTCAGCACCCCCAGGCTCAGCACCCCCAGAAGCAGCACCCCAAGCAGGACCTGAGTCACCAGTGACCTCAACCGGCGGAGGCATCGGAGGAGGGTCTACCTGAGACACACCTGAAGGAGCAGGACCGGGAGCGGGGAGGGGGTCTACCTGGGTAGCACCTGGAGCGAGGAAGAGCAGCAGGGGGGGGAGCGGGGCAGAGCGGTAGGGGAAGAGACGGTAAAAGGGAACCGACTCGTCGAACGTGACGTCCTGAGACGCAAAGACACGGCGCGAGGTGGGGTGGTAAAACTGCCAACCAGGCGCGTCAGGGACAAAGCCAAGGAAGACACAGGGGACAGCGCGGGCGGAGAGCTTGTCCGCGGTGGTATCGCGGACAAAGGCACGAGAACCCCAGACCCGGAAACGCGACGCATCGCCAACCTCCCCCGTCCACAGCAGCGTGGGCGAGGTCTCCGGCAAGGAGACACGGGGCCAGAGGTTGAGCTGATGCGCGGCGTACCGGACCGCAAACGGCCACAGAAAATGGGGGGCAGCCGCATGGACCATGGAGGTACGAGCGACCTCCATGACCAAGCCAATGCGGCGCTCAGCAACCCCATTCTGCTGCGGAGAGGCCGGAAGCGTGAACGACTGGGTGATGCCGTGCTCCGCACAGTAGGCTGCCAAGAGGTCGGAGGAAAACTCACCACCTTTGTCAGAGTGCAGACGCAGGACGGGAAACTCTGTCCCGAACCGCCGGCGGAGCTGGAGACGAGCAGCGCGGATCCAGGGGATCAAAACATCAGGGACCTCACCCTTGGTGCGCAAGGGGAAGACCGTAGTGTAACGCGTGTAGTCGTCGACGACCAGCAGGAAGTACCGCTCGTGGTCCTGTCCACGGACGCGGGCTGGGCCCCACACGTCCAGGTGGAGAGTCTGCAAGGGAGCCTCTGTGGGAGGGAACGAGGAGGAGTGAGGAGCGGCGTGCTGCCGCCCCTCGACACAGGGAAGACAGGGAGGAGCAGGCGAGGGTGGGAGGGGAGGGAGAACCCTGGGAAGACCAGAGACAAGGACACGACGGTGCATGCTGCGAAGGCGCTGCACCGAGGGGTGACCAAGGCGGTGGTGCCAAAGGAGGGTCTCGTGCGACAAGGCGCGACACAAGCAGGGGGCCGACAGCTGACCTGACGCAGACGCAGACGCAACTACCTGAGGGGACTCAGTGGTCAGGGTGTACAGGCTCGAGCCAGGCTCACGGGTGAACGTGGCCAGGTGTCGGCCCGTCCGAGCACACGTACAGTGAGTCACCCGCTGACTCGCAGGAGTGAACTGGTCAACCCCCCCATCCTGGAGGTCAGCTCCACTCACCAGGTTCGTAGAGAACGAGGGGAGGTAGAGACCTGACAGCAAGCCAGACGGGGCGGCCGGACACGGCAGAACCGTGGAGTAGTGGGCAAGGACTGGAACCGGCTGACTAAGCGGCGTGAGTGTGGTGCAGTCGCGAAAGAAGGAGCGGGAAGCTCCTGAGTCAAGGGTGAAGGTGTGCAGGGTCGCAGCAGGCGAAGAACCAGAGAGGGCAGACTCACCAGGACCTGGAGCAGCAGCCTCACCAGCACCTAGAGCAGGAGACGCAGTAGCACCTAGAGCAGCAGCCTCACCGGCACCTAGAGCAAGAAACGCAGTAGCACCTAGAGCAGCAGCCTCACCAGCACCTAGAGCAGCAGGCTCTATACCTGGGTCAGGCGGTACACACAGGTAACAGGCACGGTCAGCACTAGTAGGCAATGCATACATGGCAGTGAGAATAGCATCATAGTCAAGAGCAAATATATCTACTCTCTGCCTAAGTAGCTCCACCCAGTCGGGGAGCTCAGCCCCGTCGCCAAACTCGGTACGCCAGGCGTCGCTCAGACGGGCGAAGCAGCGAGACTGTGTGTGACTAGGTGTCCCGCAAGGCTGACCAGTCCGAGCACCAGTGCGAATGACGTAAGAGCAGCGAACAGAACTGAGAGACCCTCTACTCTGAGCGTACCACTCACGAAGCTGCTGGGGCGTGCGAGACTCGCGTGGACGACAGTGTAGCTGCATCTGGCCACCGCCAGTAGCAGCAGCAGCAGTAGTGGCAGCAGTAGCAGCGCGGCCACCCCTACAACCCCAACTAGCGTACCACTCACGCAGCTGCTGGGGCGTGAGGGACTCACGCGGACGTCGCTGGGGCTGCATCTGGCGTCGGCCAGTAGCAGCAGGTCAGGCAGGCAGGCAGGCCGGCAGGCAGGTAGGCGGCGCGGCAGCGCGCTAGCAAGGCAGGGGCTCACCAGTGGCAGGAAGAGCAGGCTCTCACCGGGCGAGCAGGGCCGGTGCTCGGCGGACGGCGGCAGGGTCGGCGTACGACGGCGGCGACAGCAGGGCCGTGGCAGCGGCTACAGTGAAGGGCCGGATCGAGTCAGCGGCAGGGCAGGGCCGGGTCGTTTCAGCGGCAGGGCAGATCCGGGTCGTGTCAGCGGCGGGGCCGGGTCGTGTCAGCGGCAGGGTGGGGCCGTGGCGGCGGTAGGGTGGCGCGAGCCGCTGCGTGGGGCCGTGCACTGGCGGATAGGGCGCGGCGCGGGCCGCGCGGACGGCGCGCAGCGCGCTGCGGGCCGCGGACGCGCCGCGCGGGCTTGGGGCGAGCTGCGCGGAGCAGCGGCGGGCCGCGCGCGCGTCGCGCGGGCTCGGGACGGGCTGCGCGGCAGGCAGCGTGACGTCGGGCAGCGCGGCGGGCAGTGCGACGGGCGGGCTGCGCGGCAGGCAGCGCGGTGGGCGGGCAGCGCGGCGTGCAGCGCGGCGAGCGGGCAGCGCGGCGAGCGGGCAGCGCAGCGGGCGGGCAGCGCGGCGTGCAGCGCGACAGGCAGGCAGCGCGGCGAGCGGGCAGCGCAGCGGGCTGCGCGACTGGCGGGCGACGCGGCAGGCAGCGCGACGGTGGGCAGCGCGGCGGGCAGCGCGGCGGGCAGCGCGGCGGGCAGCGCGACGGGCGGGCAGCGCGGGCGCACGAGGGCGCTAACGAGGGGCGCACGAGGGCGCTAACTGGGGCGCGTGAAGGCGCTAACGAGGGGCGCGCGAGGGCGCAGCGAGGGCGCGCGTTGGGGGCTCAGAGGGCGCGCGAGGGCGCTAACGAGGGCGCACGAGGGCGCAGCTAGGGCGCAACGAGGGCGCATCGAGGGTAGGGCGCGGGGTAGCGTGGTAACCGCATGCGTGCGACGGTGGGCCCTAAAAAAAAGATCGGTAGGTCCTAGGGACCTCCTGCTCTGATACCATGTTGAAATCACAGGCAGGAATGGTGAACTAACAGCATGCAGGAGTACAAGTACTAAACCCTAATTGGGTTGTACCCCATATGGGCTACCCCACTACAGCCTAGACAATATGCAGCATATATGTTTGACAGCTCCTTCTCGAGCACGATCACCATGGGCAGCGTGTTGGGCTGAATCACGTCGCGCAGTAGCTTCCACGCCTTAGGACCGGAGTCGTCCAACTCGACCAAGTCCTTGATGTGCTGGAACATGTCGTTGTTGACCGATTGCAAGATGAGGTCGAACAACACCGTGCTCCGCTCAATCCACCGATCCCGAGCATCTCCTTCCTCGGGCATTTTCTCTTCTCCCATCGCAAGTTTCAGCAGCTTGTAGCGCTTGAAGACGCTCCTCATCCGCCCACTCCATTCCTCGTAGTTGGAGCCATCCAACGCCTCAATCTTGGATGGTGGCGGCTCACTCCTCTTCTCAGCTGCTTCTCCACTCCCTTGACTCATCTCCTCTTCTCACAATTCACAGGTTTCAGCTCCCCCCTTTGCTGGTCACAATGTAGATCCACAAGATCTTCACAAGTGTCGGCGCCAATTAAATTTCGGCAGAGTTTCCCCTTAGCGGAAGTCACATCCAACCTTCAGAACACCACTTAGGCACGCCCACAGGCCATGGTGGGTATAAAAGGGTCTTCACACCTCAGTAGACTCCCCACGAAGTCCTCAGTAACCACTTGTTAGAGACTAAGGACGGAGTCTAGAACGTTTAGGGGCCGAAAGATCACACAATCGTTGGACCTAATCTCTGGACAGAAATGTCGACTTATCAAGAGACGCCGTCGACGAAAAGCGCACCGTTAGAATTCGCTCAAACTCGAGTATGTTGTAGCCCTTGACCGTGGCTATCTTTCCCAATTTGAATCGCATCCAAAGATGGAGTATAACTCGAGTTATGAATTTCGACGCACTAGGGGGTAAGCTGCCATAGAAACTTAACTTTCCTAATCACAATTGTTTCTCACAAGTTTCACAAAGAGGATTAGAGTAGCTACAAACCAGGTAGGAGGGAAGAGGAGGACGAGAGGGAAGGTCCCCAAGGAGTCCCCAACCAAGGAAACCCCCATACCACACAATTCCCCTCTCTATAGGCACCCCAACTTTGACATTTGTCACTTTCCAACCCATGCCATCCACCTCACCCAACTTGGCCACACTTGCCAACCTGGTTTGGCTTCTCCCAACCATTTGGCAGCAATCTACAGTAGAGTGACGAATTTCCCCAACCCCCAAAAGTCTATACCCCATATAGAATCACTCCACAAATTCCCATAGTCGCCGCATCACAATCAAAACTTCGAACGATCATAACTTTCTCGTTCTTGCTCCGATCGCGACGATTCTTGGTTCGTCGGAAAGCTCTCGAGCAGAGGAGTCAGTTGAAATATCTGCTCAAGCCAGATCACATTCACACACACACTCAGAAAATCTAAACCACACCAAACACAATTCTTGCACACGCGCACAAAACGCATGCAACACACGAACATACCATACCATGTGAGGCAGACAGACGTGAATGCGGATGATAGCATCACACAACACAGTTACATTCTGCAAGTCACTCTAATGCTCAATTCTTAACCAGAGCTGAACTCAAATACCACTGTAACAATAAAACGAAAGAGCAATGCTTGCTCATTGGACTTCTGTTGAGGACATTTCCTCCAGAAACTTTGCGACTAGCTCATAGACAAAGAAGGTGATGGCAGCGGATGGGGCGGCTTTGATGACAGAAGGCAGCACGCCTTTATAGAGCCCCTCTACACCCTCGGTGGCCACTATCTTGCGCAGCGCGTCTATCATGCCGCGGTACGCCCTCGGCTGAATGCGCGCTCCGTACCGAGGATGGCGCCGCAGCCCCTCCACCTGCCCGGATTGATTGGGCCAGAGTGGGCGAAGCGGAGGAGGAATACGATGAAACGCCTTTGGATGGCAGGTCAGGGTAAGAGAGTCGTTTTACATGGATGGGACATGAGATGGCACAGCGTGGATGAGGATGGGACATGGAGTGGCATGGAGTCCCATGGAGTCACATAATATGACATAGCATCGCAAGGCAAGGCAAAGCATGAAAAGGCATGGCAAAAAATGGGAAGGCATGGGAAGGCATGGTAAGGCACGGCAAGGCATGGGAACGCATCACAAGGCATGGGAGGGCATGGGAGGGCATGGGAGGGCATGGGAGGGCATGGGAGGGCATGGGAGGGCATGGGAGGGCATGGGAGGGCATGGGAGGGCATGGGAGGGCATGGGAGGGCATGGGAGGGCATGGGAGGGCATGGGAGGGCATGGGAGGGCATGGGAGGGCGTCTGACTTGGAATCTCTTCTTGACGACATCGAGCGGGTGGCAGGCGACCTTAGCCAGTGTGCCCGCTGCCAGCCCACACATAAACTGCTGCCACGCACTCAGCTGCCCCGCTGACAGTGCGGGCCGTGCCGGGCGCTCCACTGCCGACGCCACGGCTGGCGGGGCTGTGGCTGGTGATGGTGATTGGGAGAGTGTCGTGGTGGATGGGGCTGTGGAGGGCAGGTGCGAGTGGGCGAGCGAGACAGGGCGGTCGTGGCGAGCATTGGAGCGCGACCAGTTGTAGTGCTGCATGCAGTGAGAGAGACAATGGCACCGCCACGACACACGTGAGTGGGCCAACATGGCATGATGAGATGTGAGCGCGAAAGAGCATGCGAGGGTATTCCTGGAGGTGGAGAATGGGAGTGCATGCAACACCATTGGTTGGGGGCTGACCAACAAAATTGCATTGATTGGGGGCAAGGCAAGTGGCAAGGCGTGATCTTCCCTAAACCGGCACCTCACGGCCGCACTACTACTACCAGTACCCCGCAGCTGCCAGGAAGCAGAGAGAGGCATTCATGGTAGAGGTGCTGCGAGCGCGGTTGGGGAAAGGAGTGCGAGAGGGCGGGAGAGGAAGGCAGGGGTGGCGTGGGAAGGAGGGCAGCGAAGGGGGGCGTACAGCGAGTTGGCGCTTGAAGGCGTCGTAGAGGCCGAACTGCAGGCCGGCATATGGAATGATCTCCACCATTGTGGGCGGCAGGCCCGCGAACAGCCCCCTCACCCCGCGCTCCCTCACTATGCCCATGCACGCCGCCCTCATGCCTGCATACACCTGCACTCGTGCGTTGCATGGGGTTGGGGTGAGGGGGGTTGGGGTGAGGAGAGATGGCAGCAAGAGAAAGAGGAGACAAAGAGCACCGGAAAGTGAAACTGCAAGCCAGTGTGCAAGGGAGAAGGGGCTGGCATGGTTGACTGCTCTCATGCCTTCTCCCCGCCACAGGCCCTTGGCAGGTTGACCATTGCCGTACAGCCCTGCCTCATGCCTCGTCCCTCACCTTGGGCTCGCCCTGCATCATGCCGCACTCATATGCCGCGCTGATGCCAGCACTCATGCCACACTCACTCCCACCTTGGGCTCGCCTTGTGAGGCCAGCACGGTGCGCAGCAGGTCGAAGGGGTACGACCCCACCGTGGCCGCCATGCCCGCCACCGACCCGCCCACGAATGACAGCTCTGGTCGTAGCTGCTTGTGGTCCTCTGCAAGCGAGCGGTATGGGACGCATGGGGCGCACGGGGCATACGGGAATGGGACACACGGGCATGGGGCACACGGGCATGGGGCACACGGGCATGGGGCACACGGGCATGGGGCACACGGGCATGGGGCACACGGGCATGGGGTCACATGGAACACATGGGCACACGGGCACGTGGCTGCCATGCCCGCCACCGACCCCCCCACGAACGACAGCTCCGATCGTAGCTGCTTGTGGTCCTCTGCCAGGGGCGCGGGGCGCATGAGCGCACGGCACGGGGTACACGGGGTGCATGGGGTACACGAGGTGCATGGGGTACACGAGGTGCATGGGGTACACGAGGTGCATGGGGTACACGAGGTGCATGGGGTACACGAGGTGCATGGGGTACACGAGGTGCATGGGGTACACGAGGTGCATGGGGTACACGAGGTGCATGGGGTACACGAGGTGCATGGGGTACACGAGGTGCATGGGGTACACGAGGTGCATGGGGTACACGAGGTGCATGGGGTACACGAGGTGCATGGGGTACACGAGGTGCATGGGGTACACGAGGTGCATGGGGTACACGAGGTGCATGGGGTACACGAGGTGCATGGGGTACACGAGGCGCATGGGGCACACGGGGGGAGAAGGGGAGGCTTGTTTTGTGACCAGAGGATGAAGGGCGGGGATGAAGGGCGGGGATGAAGGGCGGGGATGAAGGGTGGGGATGAAAGAACGGTGTCCGTGGCCCTGCAGAGATAACAGCAGTCGCTGTCATTGCTTTCTCTGACACTGGGACGAGTACAGGAAGGCGGGTGGAACAAGATGCATGAGCGGATTCACTTGACTGGCGGTGACAGGGAGGGTACGACAGACATGGGATGAGACGGGTATGAGAAGGGAAGGCGGGAAGCTGAGGGGGAGCATGGGGAAGTCTTGCTGTCCCCACCGACCAACCTCACCCGCCCCACACCCCGCCCTCCCTCTCGCCTCCCCTGCGTCTTGCCGGCCTGCCCTGTGCACTCACCTGTGCGGTGCGAGCCGGTCATGAGCGATTTGAAGCGGTGGATAACGACGAACTGGATGGCGGTGTAGGGCATGACGAGCAGCAGCCCCGGCACTGTGCCCCGCCAGAAGCCCTGCCCCGGGGGAGAGAGAGGGACGGGGGAGAGAGAGGGACGGGGGAAAACGTGTTGGGAGGGTTGGGGAGGGGTGGGAGATGGGGGAAGGGGAGGCAGGGCGAGGTGGACCCTGGGCGAGGTGGACCCTGGGCGAGGTGGACCCTGGGCGAGGTGGACCCTGGGCGAGGTGGACCCTAGGCGAGGTGGACCCTGGGCGAGGGAGAGGAGCAACGCGGAGGCGCGGAGGGACGTGGGTGAAGAAGGCTGGGATGAGGGAAGGTGAGACGAGGCGTGGCGAGGGGACGGTTGACTGAGCATGGGCCGGTGTGCACGGCCCGACATCTGGCAGGCCGCTACTCACTGCATGCAAAGATGCGCCCCCTGGCCCTCCCTCTTGCTCACAGCAGCTTCCGACCCATTCAGCACATGCGGTAAGTTCTGCAACACCTTTGTTCCTCCGCCCACCCTCCCAAGGCACCCTCCCTCACTCCCCCTCTCCCCCTTCCCCACCCAATTTATCACTTCCCAACCGCCTTCCTCAACCAAACTCCCCTCCCTCCCCATTCCCGCCTCCTCTTCCTACCTCCCTCCCTCCTTTCCCCCCGCCCCCCCTCCTTATCACCTTCCCCCATCCCGCCCCACCCTTCATGCATCCATCCCTCCCGAGCCTCTACCCATTCCTCCCACTGCCTGTCTCCCGGCCGCACCGCATTGCGACCAGCCATTCCGCCTACGGCAACCCCACAGCCAGAACCCTGAACCCCACAGCCAGAACCCTGAACCCCAGCTCAGCAAGCCATCGCCTCCCGCATTCCACTCTCCCGCCTCGGCCCTTCTCCATGCCCCTCCGATATCCCCCCTCCCCGCCCAGCCCCGCGCGCCCACCAGCCCCGCGCGCGCACCTGCACGCCTTCCTCGCGGAGGATCTCCCTTGCGGCCTGCAGCAGCCCCGTGTACTTAGACCGCGACGCCCGCACCGCGCCCGCCGCCGCCGTCGCCGCCGCGCGCCCAGCTGCGGAGGTGGCAGCAGCGGCGGCGGCATGCGGCGCGTGGATGGGCTCCAGCTGCACCTGCGGGGACCGAGAGGGCGGCGGGGTGGACGGGGCAGCGGCGTGAGGTGCGCGTGGGCGCGCAGCGGGAAGAGAGATCGCGGGGAGGAGTCATCGCGACGTGAGCTAAGTTTCCGAGGCACGACAGCTGCCACGAAGCTGTCGGCGAAAAACGGATCGCGAAGGGGCACCACGCAACGTGGCGGCATGAGAACGATCCGAAGCAGCTGCGGAGACGGAGCGACGAGAGGGTGCGAGGCATGGCGGGGGGGCAATGGCGCGGGAGGCACCTGGAATCTAATCTTGATGACGTCGAGTGGCGACACCACGACGCGCGCCACCCCGCCCGAAACGGCACCGGCGACCGCGTCGAGCACGGGGCGAGGCAGCAGGTGCTTCCTCTGCGCTCGCGGCGACGCCGATGCCGACGACGGCGATGCGGGCGAGTCGGGCTCGCAAAAAACGGTCATGGCTGCGAAAGAGGCGGTGGGAGTCAATGAGTGTTCGAGACACGCTGACTCGCTCAGCCTACGACTGGATGCATGGCGTAACGACCCCTCAAGCACACCTACTACGTCAGCCTATGCTATGATAACTTAGAAGAACTTTCGAACGGCAAAGATATTTTTCTCCCGTCAGCCAGACCAGCAAAACAAATATCTAGGCTTTTGGCTTCCCTTCCCTCCTTTACATTTTACCTTGGTATTTGGGACCAATCGCAAGCCTCCCAACCGTCGCCAAACTGATCTGCATTTTTGCCGTCGTCCTTGCGAGAGCGAATGTGGTATCCTGTGCTCCACGCGAGTCGTGTGTCTTCGCGCCCATTTTGGACATCGTGGTAACCAGGTTCTCGCGAAGTCGCCCAAAAGAGTGAACAAAGGAGGATTTCGGAGTTCAAATTTTTTGTTAATCGTTCTTCTCTTGCGTGAACCCAAACCAAACCAGCTGCTATCTCATCCCATTCTCAACCTGCCTTCACCCGCTTTCCATCAAGCAAGTCACAGTGCGCCCGCGCATCGACTCTCATAACGACCAATGGCGAACGTGACCGTATGCGTTAGGTTCCGGCCCCAGGTTAGTACGAAGCGAGTGAACTTGTTGAGGCACGTCGCTTGTTGAAGCAACTAACGTGGTCGATGGGAGTGAGCAGAACAAGATCGAGCTTCACGAAGGCGGGCTGATCTGCGTCGAGAAGAACTGCGACCAATCGTTCTACTTGAAGGCACGACCGACGACCGTCACATCCGCTTTCTTCTTCTACTCGTGCCTGCTACGGGAAACGTCTAACGCGTATACGCATTGCAGGATGAGAAGGACGAGAAGACGCTGTTCACGTTCGACCGGACCTTCTACCAGGACTCGACGCAGCAGGAAGTTTTCAGCTACGTCGCGCTGCCCGTCGTTCAGGGTACGATGAATAGCCACGATCGCACGGTTCTCGAGAATTGCGTTACTTTACCCCGTTAAAGAACTGTCGCTTGGTGATCCGCAGATTCGCTTTCGGCAATCAACGGCACGGTGCTCGCTTATGGTCAGGTATGGCCGATTCAGCTCGTCGATTCGCGGTTCGTCGTACTGACTCGCCACTGTCCTCGCAGACCGGAGCGGGCAAGACGCACACGATGGAGGTGAGCGCAGCTTCCCTCTCCGCATCCCCCTGCTGCTTGCGCGCCGAGCCTGACGGCGATCATCTCTCTGCGCGCAGGGACCCAACATGCTGATCGACGATCCCGAGAGTTCCGGCATTCTCCCGCGCGTGGCCAAGGAGATCTTCGTGCGAATCAATGCGTCGGACACCCCCAGCGAGTACAAAGTCGCTCTCTCTGTGGTAAAGTTGAAGGTTCAGAGCAATTGTCGATTTTGGCCTTGAACCTGACATACGCTGACGGCGCGCTTGGGCAGGTTGAGATTTACATGGAGCGGATCAGGTACGTTACTTAGCTCTAATCAACAGGTAAAAGAAAACATTGATTCAGACCCTCCTCTTGAAACACTTTCGTCTCTACTGCGGAAACACTTTCGTTTCGGAATAGCATCCTTCAAGTTTTTCGTTCTATCAGGGACCTGTACGACGTGTCAAAGGACAACCTGGTGGTGAAGGAGGACCAGACTCGAGGGATCTCCATTGCTGGTGTGACTGAGGTGAGCCTATGCTGGTGGCTCTCCTATTGTTCTTGGTGCTGTCCAATGGCTTCGCACGTTTCATGCGTGTGTTCGTTGTGTGCTGCAGATATATGTTGAAGGCGAGAAGGAAATGCTTCAGCTTCTTGAGGTACGCTGTTGTCTGTCTTTCTGCACTTTTTCTTTGGATGCCCAGGAAAGTTTTCTGACTCTTTTCTTTCAGGCGGCAATCAAGAATCGGGCTGTTGGGGCGACCAGTAAGTCCTTGTCCTTGTTGCTTTGTCTTGCCTGTTTCCTGAAAAGATTGTGATGCTCAAGTTACCATGGCATTGCAGACATGAATCAGGGAAGTAGCCGCAGCCACTGCATGTTTCTTCTGACAATACAACGAACCTCTGCTGATGGGAGCAGGTATAGTAGTGCAATCACTCTCTCACCTTCTGCTGATCGCCCATTGTGCTCATCAGCAAATGTCTTTTGCAGCTCGCAAGTTGGGAAGATCTACCTTGTGGATCTGGCTGGCTCGGAGAAAGTTGACAAGACAGGGGCAGAAGGACGGCTGCTGGATGAGGCCAAGATGATCAACAAATCTCTCTCTGCTTTGGGGAATGTCATTAACGCCCTCACATCCGGTGGGGTTTCATTTTTCTTAACCTGATTCCTGTCCTGTGCTGTAAATCTGAAGTTGAAAAGTGCTGCAGATAAGGCTTCACACATCCCTTACCGTGACTCCAAGCTCACTAGGATACTGCAAGAATCACTGGTGAGTCAAGCTGCATTGGGTGCCACTTGAGTGGATGGGGGCAACGGCTGAAGCAAAATGACGACTCTAATGTGCAATGCAGGGTGGAAATTCGCGTACAACTCTACTGTGCTGCTGCTCCCCTTCCACTTACAACTATACAGAATCCGTATCCACTGTTCGCTTCGGCTTAAGGTAGCAGTCTCAGCACTTTCCGCCACTTGATTCTACATGCCACTTGCCTGCCTGGCTCTCACGTGCACTCAATGCCAGAGCGAAGCAAATCAAGAACAAGCCTGTCGCCAATAGAGAGGTGGGGCGTGGGGAGCTCCAGCGTCGCTTGCAGGAATCGGAGCTGGAGTGCGAGTTGCTAAGGCAGCACATTCAGACCTTGACCCTGGCCATTCAAAGGCTTCCCGGTGGAGGTATTGTCAGTTTGGAGCTTGCAGCATGTGCAGCAGCCTTGCAGTCCATTTGGTAATCCTCCCTGCTGCCCATGCAGATGAGGTAACGAGGGACATCGGAGATCCAATCAGTGGAAAGACTTCAGGATCCAATAACAGCCTGAAGGTGTGTTTGCGTAGGAAAGACCTTGTTGGTTGAATATGCATCCTGCTTGTTTGTTGAACTCTTTTGACTATCCACAGGAAAGCCAAATGCTTGCTGCGTGCATTGAGGGGTTGCATGGAGTTCTTGCCAGTGAGGGCATGGCCTGGTCGTCTGAGCTACCCACCATTGAAGACACAAGTGACATTCCAAAGCTGCTGCCTGCTGCGGTTGAGAAGCACCTCTCCAGTCAGTCCAGCGAGGGAAACGATGAGAAGGATTTAAAGTACCTCGAAGAGGCCTTGGATGATATGGCTGCCCGTCTCAACAAGGTGAGGAATGTGGCTGATGAGAGACTGATTGTTCCCCAAGTCACAATTGCCTAATTTTGCATTCCATTGTGCAGCTTGAAAGCAAGATAGGAAGATAGCACTCCTTCGTCCACCACAGCTATGTGCTAGTAATAGTATGTGTTGTGTGCACATTTTAGTGGTCGCTTCCATCATGTGTGTTTGTCTTCCAGCCATTGACATGAAGATAACCTGGTAGTACCCGGGCAGGTATACAGTTATGCTACTTATGAGGTTGTATGCTTAGGAAATTCTGCATATCATACCACGACTGTAGTTGCAAATTACCCTGGGATAGTGTTACGGGTGCAATGCAATGGAACGAGATAGCTAGGATTGCACTATGTAATGAATACACTTTCATTACTGTAAGGCTGACCTTAGCGAGGACAGCCCTGAGCCGAGCAGTTCGCGTAAGGCTCGGCCTACACTTTCACACGATTCCGCGCCGCCCCGCACCAAAAGTGACACACACATCCCTCGCACGTCACGACTCACGAGGTTCTCGCCTAGCTAGTTTCCTTCCTATATTAACTCGCTTCATTGTTTCTTCATTCTGTAATCACGTTCTCTTTATAAAGTCTTCCGCGCACTCTGTTTAGTACAACTCATAACACTTGGTATCAGAGCTACTTTCCTAGCTCACCCCGCTTTTTAGAGTGTATTACCCCTCGGGGGGGGAACAGGAAGGATGTCGTGGGGTCCAGGAGCAGCGCACTAGCTGGCCAGGAAAACGGGTAGTTGCTCCTCGCGGGCATAAAGTTTACGGGCGATCCTAGGCACCGCCGGATCCTTGCCCTCGACGGTCTAGATAGACCTCCCTCCCCCCGGGTGGCGGACAGCTTTTGCTGTCGTTGCATTAATTGCGTGAGTTAACTGTCAACAGGAGTTGTGTGTTGGCCCTGTCCTCGCTTGGGCGGAGCCGACTTCGTTGTCGGGTGTGCGGGGAGCACAGCGGACCTGTTGTAGTGGGGGACGCCGTCCTGAGCGCCTGGACGGTGTCCTGGGTGCCTGGACGCCGACCCGGGCGTCTGGACGGCGTCCTGGGCGCCTGGAAGCCGGCCAGGGCGCTTGGACGTCGACATGGGAGGATGCCGACCTGGTGGTGTCAACCTGGTTGCCCGGTCGACACAGTTACCCGCGCGACGGGCACAGCGTAGTGCGCGAGAGTTGCCCAGGATGTTCTTGCGAAGCCGACCTCGGTGTGGTATCCCGAGGTCGACGTGGAGGATCAGATGCAGTCGTAGGCACATGGTCAGCTTGGCGTCTGCGCTGTCAACGTGACGAAGTACAGCATGCCAACCAGCTGCGAGCACCTGCGAAGTAGGTGCGCTGCTGTCCTGCGGGTACAACGATGTGCAGCCGCCTTGCTGCAGAATTGGCACGCCGTTGACTTGCAGCGCTGGCACACCGCGACCTTGCAATGCTAGAGTGCGGTCGACCATGCAGCGCTGGAACGCGGTCGACCGAGTTGTGCTGGCAGTTGACCGCCTTGCTTGCTAGCATCTGATGTACTCCATAGTTGCTTTGCATTCTGAACCATTGTAGTCAACTTTTGCTAGTGAAACTCTTGCAAAATCTCCCCGTGAATGTGCAAGCAGTGAACACACGAGCAAAAGACCAAGGAACGAACGTTACGATCACTCCTACCTTGTGCCTTGCCCGTAGTCTCGCTCCCGTTGTAAGAGTTATCTCCGCATGGTGCGGTGAGCGTGGACGGCACCGCAACGATATTTTTGGTTTAGCCGACTTAGGGGCGCATTACCTATCGTGTTCGTTGGCTGGTAGCTGCGTTAATCACCATGGTGGCCGTCGTAGGTGACGCAGGTGTAGTGGACACCCTGGAGACACGACTGACTGGTGCGAGGAGACGCAATGCAGATGGCGAGTCCGGGCCGACCCTCCCATCGGAGGTCGTCGAGCTGGGCATCCAGGCGCAATGGGTGACGAAACACCATTCCCGTCCTTCTTCCCCTCGACCGGTGAACAACGAAGGCGGCGTCGACGTGGGCGTCAACGCCAGTGACCAAGTCGGCAGCAGTGCGGGAGGCACGTCGAGGCAGAGAGGAGTGATACACACAAGAGAAGTCGGCGGCATTCAGGCGCGAGGGATGCAGTCGTCGGCGGTTGCGGGCTCCTTGCAAGGCGACGTCGGAGGACGCCGTAGTGGCGTGACGCCGGCGTCGGCGACCCACGTGACTGCAAGCGGCATAGCACCGACCTACGCCTACTTCAAGTTCACGCGGGCCAAGTCGCTGTCACTACCCCGTTGGTTGGTCGTCACGACCTACTCACGTGGAAGGAATCCATCGAGCCCCAGCTGGAGATGGTCGGGCTGACGTGCTTCGCCGACGGCACTGTGGAGATGCCGTCGGAGAGCAACGCCGAGCTGCGCGCGGAGTTTGTTAGAATCTGACGGCAGGAATGAATTGCATTGATGAAGTGTTGGGTACATAAGCTAACCCTAACATTGGGTTGTACCCCATATGGGCTACCCCACTAGCAGCCTACACAAACACAATATGCATAGTTTGACAGAGTTTCGCGCCGTGCAGCTGCTGACCTTCACGGTCATCTCGCGGTGCTGCTCACCAGTGGTGCAGATTGCTTTGAAGTCTTGCCGGCGTCACCTGGACGCCGGGCATCACGCGTGGCGGTTTATCACGGCGACGTACCAGGTCACCGACGACCTGTACATCGGCCAGTTGGAGGAGCAGATGACGCACCTGCGGATGGGCGAGCAGGAGACGGCGACCGACTACTGCAACCGAGCTCGGCGTCTCCTTGCCTGCATGCGGATGGCCGGCGTCGAATACTCGACGGCATCGTGCATCACGCACGTCATCAAGGGGCTCCCGAGCAGCTACAACCTGATGAAGCGATTCACGGTGGTGCCGGGCATGTGCGAGTCTCTCAACGAGGACTCGCTCACTTCGTACATCCTGAGGGACGAGGCGATGCAGGAGGCAAAGTGGTCCACAGAGCTCCTGCCACAGGCGCACTACACCGCCCCAACAAAGCAAGGAGGCTGACGGGGCAGCGTGGTAAGCCTGGTGGCGGTGGTAGCAGTGGCGGGAAGCCAGCCAAGGACGCCGACAAGGGGAAGTCGGCTAAGGACAGCGGTCATGGAGGAGGAGGACGACGCCAGGAATGCTGGCTGTGCGGCGACCCTGACCACCTCTCCTTCGAGTGCCCCAACCGCAATGACTCCGACGACGACGCCAAGGGAGGCCGCGGAAGGTCGGCCAGCCGTTGTCCACGTCGGAAAAGCAAGCCGCGCAAGGAGGCCGACCGGGGCAGCGCGGTAAGCCTGGCGGCGGTGGTAGCAGTGGCGGGAAGCCAGCCAAGGACGCCGACAAGGGGAAGTCGGCTAAGGACAGCGGTCATGGAGGAGGAGGACGACGCCGGAAATGCTGGCTGTGCGGCGACCCTGACCACCTCTCCTTCGAGTGCCCCAACCGCAATGACTCCGACGACGACGCCAAGGGAGGCCGCGGAAGGTCGGCCAGCCGTTGTCCACGTCGGGAAAGCAAGCCGCGCAAGGAGAAGCAGTCGAACAAGTCGACCTCGGCGAAGGACGCCGACTCCTCCTCTGGCGGCAAGGGGCGAGGCGACAAGGAGGCGTTGTGCTCGCTGGTCGGCGTCGTGGAGCCGACCGTGCCGGAGACCGGCAAGGACTTCCAGGCGGTGGCAGCAGCCGTGCGAGCAAACCCGGCGGTGGTCCTGCTCGACAGCGGCTGCTCGCACCACCTGATGGGGACGAAGGAGGCCTTCGTCGACCTGAAGATGAGAGGCGACGTCAAGCACGTGCGCGACTTCAATAGGGCGCTGCAAACCGTCCAAGGCAGCGGCACCGTGGCCATGCATGGTGAGGCCGGGAAGCAGGTGCCCATCCCCGACGTTCTCTACGTCCCGGGCGTGCAGGCGAACCTACTATCGGCCAGCCAGCTGAAGGAGAGCGGCGTGAAGCTGTAGGACGACAATGACGGGATGCTGCTCGTCTCGGCGACGGGCGACGTGCTTGGTCGGGCGAAGTATACCGGCCGGGTCCTCTGCACCGACCTTCGTCCGTGCACAGCGACGTCGACGTCGACCACAACGGAGACAGGGGCTCTGCGGGCGATCGTCTCGGCGACCAAGTTGACGCCGGCCAAGTGGCACGCGAGGCTTGCACACGTCGGCATCGACACCATCACGCGCTCGGCGAAGCACGAGGTCGCCACCGGCCTGGACATCAAGCCGTCGACTTCCCGTGCGTCTCATGCGTCGGCGGGAAGCTGGCGCGGCACACCTTCCCCGACAAGGGCTCGGACGCCGAGGACGCCCTGGCCGTCGTGCACATCGACCTGTGCAGGCCGTTTCGGGTGGCTGCCAAGGACGGGAGCCTATACTTGTTGCTGCTGAAGGACCGCAAGACCCACTACGTGTGGGTAAGGCAGGTCGCCAAGAAGTCTGACGTGCTGCGGAGGTTCGAGAAGTGGACGGTTGTGGCTGAGCGGCAGACAAAGAAGTCGGTGTTGATGCTTCGCTCTGATCGGGGAGGGGAGTCCCTCAGGAAGGAGTTTACCGCCTTCGTGGACGGCAAGGGGATCGTCCACGACTTGACCTGCCCCTACACTGCGCAACAGAACGGCATGGCTGAGCGTGAGATGCGGACGGTGGTGGAGTCAGTGCGGACGATGCTGCTGCACATGGGCGTGCAGCACCACAGGCCGTCTGGGTCCGCAACTGCCTTGAGAGGTCGTCGCTGCCGCCGGGGACGACGCCGTACCAGCTGCTGACCGGGAAGAAGCCCGACTTGTCGCTGGCACGCGTGTGGGGCTGCATGGCGCAGTTCCTGGTCCCCGAGCAGCAGCGTGGTGGCAAGCTGAAGCCGAAGGCTTGGTGGGGCCTTCACCTCGGTGTGTTAGAGGAGAGCAAGGGCTGGGAGCTCCTCGACCTCACCGACAACCGGGTGGTCACCACGTCGGACGTGGTGTTCTACGAAACCATGTCGCTGGAGGTGTGGAAGTCGGAGCATGGGCCGGTGTCGGGGCGGGCGCAGGTCAACCCGCCGACGGCAACACTCCCATTGCTCGCC